CTATCGAAGGAAAGATAGATGGGCGGATAGAAGTGACAAGAAGACGAGGAAGAAGACGTAAGAAGATGCTGGATGACCTTGGAGACAGAAGAGGATACTGTCATTTGAAGGAGAAAGCTCTAGATCGCATTAAGTGGAGGAATTGTTTTGGAAGAGACTGTGGACCTGTCGTCTTGACAGATTACTGATGATGATGATGATGATGTTGTATAATTGACGACAGGGATACTCCATCCATTCAATGCAAGATGAGTTCTCAGGGGACGTAATATAAGAAAAGTAGATGGTCTGAGTCTTCATTGATTCTTTACGTTCCAGTGCTCACACCATGACTCAACAGCATTGAGACCATGCTGCAGCTCTCTGAGAACATAACCCTCTTTGCGGTCTGTCCCATATATACAGATGTTGTCAGCAAACAGACCTAGACAGACACCAGGTGCATATGGGGGATGGGATGGAACCTTGTGGCATCCTTGCCTGTATATCCCTTGGTGTAAAAATTTCATCATCGTCCCAAACTCTGAATTTTCTGAGAAAGAAAAGAGCTAATAAGCTTCATTAGACTGATGAAAAATTTTAATTCCTATAATTTACATAGCAAGCCAAGATGCCTTGTTGTATCAAAGGCTTTTCAATATCCAAGAATGTGGCAGAAATAGACATGTTATTGTTGACATTTAAGAAATGTGGTCCATAAGTCTCAAAGAGTGAAGTGTCATGCTGTGACAAGCACGGAAAGCAAACTGGCTTGTAATGAGTAGGCCTCTTTCTTCAACGTGCCTTTGGACTATTTCCAGGATAACTTTCTTCAATAGCTTTCCTGTTGTAGAAAAGAGGCTAATCAGACATAAATTTTGAGGGAATTTTGGGTCCTTACCAGGTTTCAGTAATGTTATAATGTTTGCTTCCTTCCAAGTCTTTGGAAAATGGGGCAGCTAAAGGAAGTGATCAAATAAATGTGTCAGATGTACCAGTGACCTTGGAAGATGCCGAAGGCATTCATTTGGAATACCATCAAGTCCACAAGCCTTTCTCAATTTCAATAATTTGTTAATTTATGTATGTCACAAGGTCTTTCTTCCCTCGACGGGGCACTGTCTATAGATGCGAGCATAGCTTGCACTCCAATATCCACCAGTTGCTCATGGTTTTCATTATACAGGTTATGAGATATGAACCAGTTTTCTAAACAACCTACAATTACATTGGTTTTCTTGTTCAGGTGATATGTCATTCCTAGAGGTCAATAAATAGCAGTTGGTGCCTTTGGTCCATCCCGTTTCAAAAGTGATTTCAAAATATGACACAGAGATTCTGGTGTGACCTCAAAGTTTCCTACTTTTGTTTCCCACTATTCTTGTGCCTTTCTATGGGTCATTCAGCTGATGGTTTTGGTGATCCAATTAACTGCTGTTTTACATGCTGGATCCCAGGTTAATTGCCACAGTTTCCTTCTTAAGCCCAAAGAATGTAATTTTGCCTATTGATGAACTCACTCTCCAGTAACATTCCTGCTTATAACATCTCAGCATGGACAGAACAGAAATGACCGTTCTTCTGTTGTTTACAGGCCGTTGCCTACTAATAGCTGTTGTCTAATTGTTTCACAATTGTTGCCTACCAACAGGTCTACTACATACATGACACATTATTAATTGGGAGGGGGGAAGAGAAAAGGGTAAAGCTGAATTCAGTAATAAGAGGAACTCTACCATAATTACAAACTACTGGAAGTTCTATTAAAGCATAAATTTTGGTATCACAATATTTCACATCATTTTTTACACTGTGGGACAACTCAGACAATGGTGAATTAAATATAGGGACATATAGCACTCCACACTGCCACATTATCCCACTGCAGAAGTCACAAGTTCTGCCACTTCAGGATTAGTGGATCTTACAGTAAGCTGCATTGTCACTGCTGCTGCCAGTGCAAGTTTCACTTGAACTAGTATCTCATACCCTCCACGGAACACACCTGAAAAAAATAAATTAATCAGCATTAATATTCTTTGTTATCTTTTTCAAGGCACAAACAGGATAGCTCAGTTGGTATAGTATTATAGTACAGTTTAGACATCTGAAGAAACAGAGTTTGATTCCCATCTTAGGCAGGTGATTTTCTTGTCTCCACAGGGTCCAGATCACCCTGGGCTTAACCAGCCTTCTAGCGAGTGGACATGGGGCACTCTTTCCATAGGAGCAAAGCAGAAGACTAGGCTCGAAGTAGTACCAAGGTATGAATGCATGATGCTATTCTTCCAGTATCGCATGTCATATGGTATGGGGCTTGCTCAAGAACAGGGACAACTTTACCTTCACTCTACAGTCCGCCCACTCGGCGAACCAAGGCATGTCATATCTTGTGCAGCCAACCATATGGAGCAGCTTTGTGTTAAGCTTGTCTGAATTCTCCTCCAGTGCATGAATACCAAAAGTACGGAGGAAACAGGCTCTAATAACTTTTGTGATGATGGCATAACAGCCTATGTCACTAACTGACCATGACACACCCTCATTCCCATAGAGGACAGAGTAATTCATTCTCCATAAACAGGGTGCACCTATGCCAGCTCATTACTCATGCATATTCTTACTACTGCTCCAAAGATTTAATGTCGTTTTGAAATTTATACATGCTATCTCAAGCACACAAAATAGGCTGAGGGTTAGGGGTGAAGAACAATTGAAATATATGAGTAATATGGAATTCTTTTATCCTGCTAATAAAGGAAACTATTTCTTTTAGCAAGAAGTTTTGTCTACACATTAACCTGAACTGTGTATATAAAGTGCATCACAGCTGACAGTTACACTGAAATATTGCAGCTACTACACTATATTCATACATTCATACCCTGTTGCTCCTTCTGGAGCATTGGGCATCCGTGAAACACTTTGTTTCACGTCTTTTCTTAATCTTTAGACAGGTGGTAGGCCTTCTTGGATGGGGGATCAGCCCGTCATAAGGCTGCTACCTACACTGGACAACACAGAGAATAAATGTAGACACACATGCATGCCTTGAGTGGGATTTCAACACATGACCACAGTGTTTCAGGGGGCGAAGATAGTTCATGCCTTAGACCCCACAGCCACTGTGATTGGCATACATTATATTACTTATCCATATTATGTAGTGTGATCACGTTATTGCTTGCCAAAAATTTTTCAGCCACATGGGCAATAGTCTGATGTTGCTCCTGTCTAGTTTGGCTGTGAAGATTTCGACTAACAGCAGAGTCAACAAGCCTATACCTTAACAAATTGTAATATCAAATCACAGGATGCTCACATGCTGGAAATGCTGTGTTGTTATGCACACATTCCTGCCATCTTTGTCAAAAACTTACATTCATGCGTCACTTCTCTTTTAGAAAGAGGGTAAACTTGAAATTTGAAAGTCTGATTTCTGAGGCAAGGAGCCAGGAATTTTAAGGACTGTTCAAGCACAGCACTGGCCATCCAATTTCTCTCAACAAGTGTTCAATGTTTCCATCCTTCCCCCTTCCCAGTAACATTCTCCTGACAGACAGTATTTTCAATGGACGGTAGCTACAAATATATTAAATAACCAGTCATAGACAGCTGACAAGGGGTGATTCTCCAGCTTAGGGCTAGCACCATAACAAAATAAGCTTGTTACAAAATGTCACAAAAGGCCTCAGACTTGGATGGATTCTTTGGATAAATGACCTAAGCTAAGGAAAATGGGCTACACATGTAGTATGAATGGGAGAGAAGTGGCATGCATACAGGATTTCGGTAGTAAGCAAGAAGGAAAGAGACCACTAGGAAGGTCAAGATGTAGGTTGATGAATAATATTAAAATGGATCTTACAGATAGGATGGGGTGGTAGAGACTGGATTGATCTGGCTCAGGATTGGGATTAGTGGAGGGCTCTTGTGAACACAGTAATGAACTTTTGGGTTCCATAAAATTTTGGGAAATTCTTGAGTAGCTGCACAACTGGCGGCTTCTTGAGAAGGGTTCATATCCAGGGAGCTAGTTAGATGTATTGTAGTGAAGTTCATTTTTCTTGCATTTTACTTGTCCATTTTTGTTTTGTCACATAGGGATCTACAGGCTACAAGTCTGAACCTTCATGACCTGACATGAGAAGTGTCAGACTTCTTCACTTGAGTGTCTCAACAATCTGCAGGTAGCTCTAAGAGGTGACAATGTAGTAGTACCCTCTGTATTCTGGTATCCTGTCGCATGTGGTTTAACCATTTAATTTCTGTTTCCGTTTCTTATACCACTCCTGTGGCCATATTCTGAGATTGTGGGTTTTATTTAAAGATTTTACACTGTAACCACACCCTTGTTAATGTTGTTTCAGCTCATGTGTGGCCATTGCAGATGCATCAACATCAGACACAACTGTCAACCATAAGAGAGCACAGCAACAAATATCAACCTGATGTACCAATACAACTTAGCAGAAGTAGATGACACAGTATTAATTTAATTTCTTCTTTAAAGTTTCAATTTTCATACTTGAAATTTGGTACACTTTAACTCAAGATCTTGATTCTGTATTTCAGCATCCCATTGCAATTGTTCAACTTCACGTCCATTATTTATCGTCCGTCAATATTGCAACACATTTTTATTCGCTACTTAATTTTAATTTTTGTTTGACATTATACACTTTGACACTGTTGTGCCGCAATTTCAAGACTGAAAATCAAAAGATATTGCCTAAATTTACGAGACTTGCGAAAGCGTTTTATAGCAATTAGAGCGAGGATGACAACACCTGGACTAGGGATCTAGGTTAAGAATGTTGATGATCAGCATTTATGCGTAATCGCATAAGTAGGAAGCTCCCATAACTGGGCCACGGGAGTATAATGAATTTATCAAATACGCAGTGATGAGGTACGACAGACCCGCCCACCGCCAAAGGGGGTTAGCCAATGGAAATCCCCCACCCAAAAATGTAGAACAAGGGGAGTAGTTAACCTCCCTCTTTCGCCAACTGCAGCGCCAACAAAATTAGTGTATTAAAATGAGAAAAAAAAAACCCACTCAGGGATCTGATCTAAAAAAATAACAATTAGCCGAAGGCTCTGTCCGACATGGGTACTACAAGTGGTGGTGTCGCTGTGTCTCTTATCTCAAGTAAGTCATGTTTACTCATACTAGCCATGCCGTTAAACTTTGTGGTTGTTGGTAAATTGTTGTTTGTAAAATGTTGAAAACAGACTCCAGTGTGCCCGGCGAGCCCTTAGGGTAGAATAATAGAAATCATGTAACAAGTAACAGGCAAGGGTTAGTGTGGTAAACATGGTTGTCATTATAGTGTATTATGATTATGATTATTATATTTGTTGTTCATAGTGGCGACCATGGATTTTGTGATAAATATATGTAGGCTTTTAGTAGGCATAACTTTAGGGGTAAAATATCTTAAGGGTGAAGTATTATGATAGAACAGTGTAGAATTGTGTAATGAGTAGTAGGAAATGGAGACAGGAAAAAGGTTCACGTCGAACGATGAATGCTTGCATATCCTCAGGAGTCAAAATAAGAGGGGGAGAGAGAGAGAGAGAGAGAGAGACAGACAGACAGACTCAAGTCCAACACCCCAGAAGGGGGGATTCATAGCGTAGTAATGTAAAGACACTATGTAGTCCCGACTGAAGGTCGGCATTGTTCATACTGTAAATAGGATTGTAAATCAGAGTGTAAATAGACAGGGTAATTAGAGTAGGATGTACTGGGATTGTGATTTACTTCCCCGAACCAACCCGTCCATAACCGATCCAAAGCGATCCTGACCCAAGCGAAGGCAGAACTGACCCAGGTAGCCAACAGCAGCCGGGTGCAACTAGCAGTAAAGGTTATGAGAATCTTGGTTAAGGGTGAGAGACTAGTAGTAGAGACAAGGGGATGCGTTCCTGATGGAACAAGGGAAGAGTAATTTAGATAGTTCATTAGCTCCTTCAGGCATAACAAAGTGATAGCAGAGGTGGAGATTGGCCAACGAGAGGTGGCTGACAGAGAGAATTAGTAATTGTGTTTTACTCACCCCTTACATCGAAGTATTACTTATGGCACGGCGGTGGGCCGAGTCAACGAAGGGTTGACTGACGTAGCGAAGGGACTAGCCAAAGAGAAATGGCAGACCAATGATTTAGTGTTGTAACCCACCCCGTCATTCAGACATAAAGATTGGTGAGAGCAGTGAGATATCAAATCCACCCCTCGCAGAGGTGTAATATAGGGTGTGACAGTCGATGGGTAGAGGCGGGTCAGACCCGACATGCCCGCTCTACGACCGCGCTACCGGACCTTAGTATTTTCATCAACCCTCTTAAGATATAATAGATGGTGGCAGCTGTATGCAACGAAGAAGACCCAGAACCAGGAGAATCCTAGCCGAGGGTAATCTAGTATTATTGTGTTAACTCCTTACAGTATAAGAAGTGGTGGCACGGAGGGATACCTCCACGAACCCTGCCACCACGACGTAATAGACACTACATGTTTCGGCCCCAACTAGACTAGTAAAGACAACACCACACGCTGTGGAGGAAACATGCAAACCAGGGGCATATGGCAGTCATAACTGAAAAGTAGGCTACGAACGAGAGGCACAAGCTGCTGAAACAAAACACCCTGGACAGATATAAATTTATGAACAATGGACAACACCCCATGTGAGGTGAACTAACATGCACCAAAATAACGTGGGTATAATAGAAACTTTAAAGGATTTTATCTGGCTTTACCATCAAAAGAGGAATATAGTGTGTGATTTTAACATGGACTAAGACAGAGTAGCAGTTTTAACATAATTTAATCAAATATTTGTAACATATCAAGACACCTGAAGATGGCTGTTTGGGGCTGAAACATGTAGTGTCAAAGTGTACAATGTCAAACTAAAATTAAAATTAAGTAGTGAATAAAAAAAAAGTGTTGCAATATTGACAGATGATAAATAATGGATGTGAAGTCAAGATTTTGACTCTATTTAAAAGTGTCACAAACAATGAAGTGCACCAACACCATGTGCATGTACCGCATGATGGCCATGCTTGAGCTGAAGTGGTGTACATGAACATACAGCGATAGTATAGGTGGTGTAACTAAAGATCATAAACTCAGATGAGCTGGGATAGTATAGTCGATATAGCAACTGGCTACAGGCTGGATGATCAAGGGGGATTGAGTTAAGTCCCAGTAGGGTCAAGAATTTTCTCTTCTCCATGTCTTCCAGACTAGCTCTGGAGTCCACCCAAGCTCCTATCCAATGGGTAACGGGGGGGCTCCTTCCCCAGAGATAAAGCAGCAGGGGCGTGAAGCTGACCACTCACCTCCAACTAGTGCCAAGGTCATGAAAATGTGGATCTATATATCCACTCCCCCATATGCCTTCATGGTATAGTGCTTAATTAGCTAAGCACAGGGACAACTTTATCTTTACCAACTCAGAATTCACTGCAAGAGTTGTGCAAAGGAGACAAACAAAAATTAAGCAGAAGCATATACTATATATATAACATTATTGACAAGCGGCAGTTGCTCGGTAGGTATAGTTCGCTTGCAGACTAAAACCATGGAGTTTGTTTTGATAACATTACATATTTACATCCCCTGAAAGCTGTAAACGCTAGTCTGCGCTCATGTTAATATTCTTCACCTGAAGTAATACTGATGTCACAAAGCATCATTATTTATGACTATGATATCCAGAAGATTTTCCATTATAATTAATCAAGATTCTGAAAAGTATCAGAAAAAACAAAGAGAATCCTTGCTGTTATTGATATCTGAAGGTTTTTCACTGTTCACTTAAGAGTTTATTCACAGGCTGATGCAACATTTTCACATTTCACTAACTTATCTCACTGTCTATATAACATGTTACATACTTACAAGCCCATTGTTATGTGTACCTGATGTTGTAAGTCCTTTCACAGTATTAATTGCATAAAGAGGGAAGCATTAATTAAAATTAACTGAAATTCCAAAGTTAAAATGTGAGATTAGTTCAAATGTGTCATAGATAACTGAACACAAAGGGCTAATATACCATATATAAAAGATTATCAATTCCATCCAGTGTGATTGATAAATGTTTTTTCTTGATTTTTAAGCTTTCATTCTTGACATGTTTCGGTTGAAGCGACCATCTTCAAGACATATCAATATGTGTGGAAAGATTAAAAAGGAGAAAAAAACATTTATAAATCACACTGGACCGAGTTTATAATCCTTTATGCTATTGCTAGTGTAATGGACCAGGATGAACCAAATCTAATATACCATGTTTAAATACACAAAAAAATGTTATCAAGATACAATTGCAAAATGATGAATCCATAGAATGTCAACAGGATCTGATCTGTCAACTTCTTGCAATCACCAGGTAAATTCAATAGGCACTATCATGTGTAATGATATATGATTCTGAACTTTATGCCCGCACAGTCTTTAACTGCACTGTAACGTGTTGCAAGAGACCAACCTGCTAGGAGGAGTGTGTGTGAGGACTTCCCTTCAGGGATTCTGTCACTCCGTTCGACCGGCTGCATCCCCAGGAAGCTGATTATGTTCTTCACAGCTTCTTCCAGTGTCCCCATATTCGACAGGCTGTATGTGTCTGCCAGTTCACAGTGAGTTGCTCCTGCTTCCTCCCAAGCAGCGCCAAAGTTCGCCTTGGTTACTTTTTGTATCTGGTCACCAAGTGTCACCTCAAAATCTTCAAGCTAAGTATATCAGTACAAAAAATATGACACTCATTATTTACATTCAAACTAAGGAAACAGAAACCAGGAATTTATTTAATGTTGTTGCTGTTTCATACCACCATTTCATAAATTAATACCATAACATGCTATATTTTTTATTCTGGACTGTGAAACTATGGTTTCATTGACAGGTACTAACATTTCATAGGAACCTGTTGTTTCCATCTTCAAGGTAGAATCTCTTCTACTACGAAAATGGAAGCAGTACGTTCCTCGGAAATATTGCCAAACTACATGGCATTACATCTCAGTATATAGTAATCTTTATACAACCTGAACTCTAACATTTTTTTAACAATATTCTTATTATTAAAGCACCCATCAATAATGCAACAATATTTTTTTAAACTATAGAAGACATTTAAAATATGTTTCTCATTAAAAGTGCCACTTTAATACTTTATAATGTTGTTAAAATCATAAGATGTCATTAAGACACTAAAAGTATAACTTACAGACTAACAGTGATCATCAAATTATTAAAATGTCTCTAGTTTTATATATGCTTCTTCTCACTTAGAGCATGTTTCAGCCACACATGAGCCATCATCAGGCAAGTTTCCTTTTGTTTTTGGGGAGACCACTGCACTGTTCACTTGTCTATCATTGCTCTTTACTTTTTATCTCATGACTAGAACACTGTCATTGTACTCTGTTGTTGCCATCGTACTGCAATGTATAATGTGCATTAGTATTGTCGCGTATCGGGCGTATATCGCGACAAATAACTTCTCGATGTATTTGATGTAGCGACTTTTATTTCACACTCGCTCTTACAATCACCCAAATTACAGATTTACGATTACTGCTATCTGCAGTATCACAAATAGTACACTCCCAATGCCAGAATACAACTGACTGGCTGACTTTACGTCTTGACTCGGCGACTGTTACAGTACAACTCAGTACAACTCTGCGGTAGCCACACTAGAACTGACTGTGAATAGCCTTCGCTGCTCCCTATGTAGCCTCGATCGGACAATACGGGAAAACGGCCACGTAATAGGCACCCTTGTTGCTAGCCACGCTGTGTTGCTATGTAACGCTAGCGGAGGTCACCGTTGTTACTATCGTAACGTCGCCGCTGTTGATTCGCGTTGCCTAGCGACCGCGATATCCCTCGGTGACGTCGCCGCGGAGGGGAGTGGCGGGGCGGGAACTCGCCTATTACCGTAAGAACGCGAGCGTTACGTTACCGCTGGGGAGGTAGGGGTCAACATGTCACACAGTATGATTACTATAAATATTTTCATGATCTATATCATGTTGTCCTCACATAACAAAAGTTACAATTCTGTGTACTTGTGTTTTTGCGTGTTGTGTTTCTCCTGTATATGTTATTAGTGTGGTCTTCCAGCATACTAAACACAGTGTTGTTCCTGCTTATATATCTTCCGAGGTAGCATATCTAGCGCTATCTATTGCAAAGTTAATACACTGTCTGAAATATTGGATTATGTGTCATGATGCGTACGTTATTCATATGTAAATTGTTCACGTATACTTTGTAAATATAATACCTCTCTAGTGTGTTTAAATGCCTGCTTTTTCTTCCAATCCTTATGATGACCACAGTGTCCGTTATTTTGCCATATGAGTGTCCCATATTTAATATATGGTTTGAATATCCAGATTTGCTACAGTTATTTCTAACAACTTGAATGTGTTCCTTACATCTTAAATTAAATGTCCTTCCAGTTTGACGAATGTATTTCAAAGGGCAATCCAAGCATTTCATCTGATATATGTCACTATTGTTATATTTTTCAATCTCTGTGTGTTGTTTCAGTATGTTGTATGAAAAGTTATTCTAAGTTGTGTGTTTTTGAATAACTTAGTTATTTGTCTTACTTCTTTTCTGCACTTGATCACTTTTACTGTATAAGTTATACTTTTAGTGTCTTAATGACATCTTATTATTTTAGCATCATTGTAAAGTGTTAAAGTGGCAAGTGATAACATATTTTAAACGTCTCTTATATTTACCTACTTAAAATTTATGGCTGTCATTAAATGACTCATCATTCAATACCATGCGTCAACAGGTATTGCTTTATATTATTTTACACACAACAAAACTGTATACATATTCAAACCAAAATTAATATTAATTATAACACACTCTGCATGTATTCACTGTTTAAACCTCAAAATTCTCAAAGTATATACATGCAAACTGTTTCAAATTTTATGTAGATCATTATCATTCACTCCAAATTTTACTTCAATACATGGGACTGATTATAGGGAAGATTTTTTCCCATGTAAATAACAATGTTTGTGAATGATTATGGTTGAACACAAAACAGCAACATTTTATGAAAGTAAGTTATAATACAATTAATCTATTGCTAATGAACAAAAAAAAAAAATACTTCTCATGATTAAGAAGACATTGCAAATGATCCTCTGAGGTAAAAAGGTAAAGCTATCCTTGTAACAGGCCGTCAAGGCCCAAGGGGTTGTGAGACATCGAGGTTCCCACATTTTCCAGACTATCGGCTCACAGATGGCAATAAGGCTGTTGACCTTATGTGCTGGCCACCCTTTAACCACAGGAAGATTCCTGGTACTCAGTCCTGTTAGAGGCTGAGTCGACCCCAGGACCATAGTGCAGCTGGAAGAATTAAGTAAATTGAAAAAATCCAAATGATCTCATCAGGAATTGAACCTAAGACCTCTCGGCTTGTAGCATAGTGCCTCAACCAACTACACTATCACGTGACCCCAATCCTTTGAGGATCAAACAAAAATATAAATTCACAAATATTCTTGCATGCAAAGGCTTGCTAGACAAATAATGTTATTGAAAGATGTTACATTTGTAATTAATCAAAAAGGAAATGTCGACTTACTAGCATAAAGAGTTTAAACATTCATATTCTGCTGGACAGCCCCATGCCCCAGTAATTTTCAGCACCAACTGAAAGCCAACTACTGTTCATACTGTATGCCTTTATCTGCTCCAATAACATCGTAAATTCATCCATGAAGATTTGTTCCCTAAGTTTCTCTGAGAAGCTTAGAAACATGTCCTTTACAACTTCATGTGCCTTGTCTGCTGTGTTAACTCACCATGTACTCATCATCATAACCTTCATCAGAGTCTGGCAAGCCTGTGGCTGGATCACAATCTTTCACCAGAAACTTGAGAGTTGCATTAAATGTTCCTGTTTGAAAAGGGATTTGTTACTGAAGCATTACTGAAGAAAGACAGTTGTGAGTATCAGGACTGTTCAGTAAGTAACATCTGGGGGTATATTATACCTGTATTTATCACTGCAACATAGATACCTAAACAAACAAGGAACAATACACCACTTCTTTGATTCCTGCAGAGAAGCAACTGGAATCTGGTGTATGCATCCACTGACACATCCTGGATACGATCCTGTCATCACATCAGGAGCATTTTCGTTCAAAGTGCTTCATCAGCAGTCCAAAGAAGTAATATCACTAGGTATGGGATTTGACGTGAATGGTGGACAGGCAAGACATTCCAGCAAAACTCCTCTAGAGTTCCTATCTTCATTCATTTGTTTTGCTCCCTGTTATATATGTTACTACTATGTAACTATGTTTGTCAATCACAACAATTTGATACTCTTAATAAGTAACAGATGAACATAAATTGTCGATAAAATAAGTTAGTTTACTAAGATGTTATCTTTACTATATGTTTAGGTCATTTATGGCCATCTTCAAGCATTTATGAACAACAGTGGGGGTCCAAGTTCATTACTAGACTGCGTGTTGCAATGGATCCATCACTAAATAGTCTTGTAATGTAAAAGTTTTACACAGAAGTACAATGACAATGACAAAAAGTTCAAAACACTTTATACAGATAAGCCACCATTCCGCCTACTCCATTCCACCTTAAAAACCCCCTATATCCAATACAATCTTTAGAAAAATAAAAATAATTTAAAACAAGATTTACCAATTTTAGACAAGTATTTGAATGCATTTAAACATTGTAATCCTATGTAAAAACCTTTACATGACAAGACTATTTAGCAATGGATGTGTTGTGACACACAGTCCAGTAATGAATGCGATGCACTTTGTTGTCTACAAATGCCTGATGATGGTTGTAAATGACCGAAACATGTAGCAAAATTACATCTTAATAAACAAACTGATTTTATAGACAGTCTGAGTCTATCAGTTATTTAATAAAAGTACAGAACTGCTGTGATTGATGGAAATACTTACACAGTACTGAGGAGTCCTGTTGTGGCATGGGCTCTATAGGGGGGGTTAGCAGTGTTGTGGGGAAATGTCACCTCTGTGAGCATAGCATCTGAATGTCTTTCTTTAGGTGCCAAAATGTATATAGTCATCACTGCCCCATGACCCATAAACTTGAGGAGCACAATGCTCTGTACTTCCCAAAATGCAACCCACACAATTTTTCCACAAATTGCTGAGAATGTACTATATGGTCCAGTCCTCGCACTTAGGATAATGCGGGAAAATATTAAAATGGATCTTAGAGAGATGGGATGGGATGGGATGGTATGGATTGGATTGAAAAGCCTAAGGACAGGGACCAGTGGAGGCCTCTTGTGAACACAGTAATGAACCTTCAGGTTCCATAAAATGTTGGGAAGTACTTTAGTAACTGCACAATTGGCAGCTTCTCAAGAAGGACTCAGCTCCATGAGTGAGTGGAGCATGGGTGCAGCACACCCTTCAATATTACTTATTGTGCTGCCTACATGAAAAGTAATATCTAAGGTCTACGATGGGGAATCATAAAGTTTTAATTATCACCATGAGAAAATCATAATTCCAAAATATTGTTTAATATGGGAGATAGCACATTTCCTGAGCTTGCTGAACAGTCAAATTTTCCCGTGCCAAGTGGACAGAGGGAGCCACTGGAAGGGCAGAAGCAAAATGGCAATGTTGGTTGAGAAAGTGAAGGCTTGTGCTGTGATACAGTTCCACAATTTGCAAGGGAAGTCTGCCAGGGAGACCCACGACCAGATGACTGCTGTGTATCAGGAAGATGTACCAACATATGGCACAGTGGTCAGGTGGAAGAGGCACTTTCATTGTGGACAGACAAAGCTTGAAGAAAGCCTTGAAGTAGAAGATCATCTCTTGCTGAGGAACCAGGAATTGTGGCACAAACGGAAGCTTTGATCCTATCTGATAGGTGCATAACTATTGAAGCTATTGTTTATCAGAGTATGCATTAGACATCGGTTTTCAACATCATCCATGACGAGTTACACATGACAAAGGTTGCTGCACGTGGGGTGCCACGATTGTTGACACCAAGTTCAAAAACAGTAATGGATGCATGTGGCAAAGAAACATTTTCAGTTATGTCAAGACGAAAAGGTGGAATTCTTCAACCACCTGATCATGGTGGATGAATATTGGGTCCATCATTATGACCCTGAAACAAAGGAAATTAGAAAGCAGTGGAAACATGCAGACACACTGCCACCAAAGAATGCCAAATCCCAGCCGTCATCAGGAAAGGTGATGTTGAGTGTGTTCTGGGATTGGCGGGGTGTCATCATGACCAACTACACGCAAAAGGGCGTCACCATTACTGGCGAGTATTACTTCTTCACGACAATGCACCGGCTCATATTACGACAGCTGCTGCCAGTTAGGGATATGAAATTCTCCCCCATCCACCAAAATTCACCAGACCTGGCACCGAGTGACTTCTTCCTCTTTCCATGGCTAAAGAAGCCACTTCGTTGTAAGCGACTCCATCATGATGGTGATGGTGATGGTGATGGTGATGGTGGTGGTGGTGGTGGTGGTGGTGGTGGTGGTGATGGTGGTGGTGGTGATGGTGGTGGTGGTGGTGATGATGATGATGATGATGATGATGGTGGTGGTGATGGTGATGGTGATGGTGATGGTGATGGTGGTGGTGGAGATGATGATGATGATGATGTCATTTTTGCAGCGGAGGACTTCCTGAACAGTCAAAATGAGACCTTCTATGATCAAGGTATCCAGCAGCTAATGCATCATTAGGGAGAATGTGTGGCCTTGCAGAGGGCATATGTAGAGAAGGGCTAACTCACATACAGTTTCTTGCACTTGTGGCTCTGTTCTTCTGGGTGATAATTAAAATTTTATGACTTCCCAACATACAACTGGCTGGAACCAATTGAAAACTATGTAAAACTGGGAGACACTTAGAATCTGACAATGCCAAATTGAAGTTTCATTAAACACAGAATCTCAGGTCTTCCAAGCAGCATTAAGTGGCAGGCACAAAGCATTGATAGTGTCACTCACCCACTGTCGCCCCCAGTTCTTCAGGAAACTGAAATACCAAATAAGCTGTTCCTGTCTCTGAATAAGAAAGGCGAGGACATGGGATCTCCTGCACCAGCTGGTAACCAGTGGGTGTTTCCACTTCGACACGCACGTTCTCCAGCAACTGATCACTTAATGTGTTCACACAATCAAACTGAGAACAAAAGAAGATAACACATGACTGTTTCTCCCATTCAGTATTTTATACCTTTATGGAAATACTGCAGCAGTGTTTGCAGCTGCATAGACAAGAATATACTGCCTAAGATTTTAGGTTTTCATGGTGGTGACTATTAACCCTTTGACGTGGTCATTTAAATTCCGCGGCCGCGGCTCCTGCGGTAATATATTCAGCCGGCCATTTAAATTTTGCTCGAAAATGATTTATTCATCATTGTTCTTAAATTCTATGAGATAGGAACATGAAACTTTCACTAAAATGATCTTAAAAGGTGGTTTTATAACCTTACCTTATAATATGAACCCCCTTTATATCTTCAATGGAAGCAGGTTGTTTAGTATTTGAGCAGTGAATGGTACGCTTTGAAGGATGAAACTTTCACTAAAATGATCTTAAAAGATGGTTTTATAACCTTGCCTTATAATATGAGCACCCGGTATCTCGGCTATGTAAGCAGGTGACGCCTTGAAGCATTAGTCTAAACACAGCGCTGGCTCAAATCACCAAACCAATACTGCGTATCTTTACTTTTGCTTTCTTTTTTCTAACCACACTTCTGTGCGGCCCTGCCTTCTTCCCCGTGGGGGGAATACAAGTGGAAATGTCCCTCCGTGAGTCGTATATTTTGACAGATTAGCTGCAGTAAATTCAACCTTTGTGTTATCATAACAAGGGTTTGGTGCTTCTGCGTTTCAGATTCCAACCTTTTCGGCTCCCCAGATGTCGTAGGGGTGACCACAGAATTCATGAAGTTATTATAAGAACTGGCTGGCATATAGAGAACGAAAGCAGAGCTTAGCTGGCTCAAAAAAAATATTTATGGTCATCCCTCGAAACGACCACCAAGGTCAGTACGATAAAATGGCGTCAACTGGAGCGATAATGAGTACTTTTCCCTCCCCCACACACATCCGTATCGTCTCAGGGGGTGACCACAGTGTTCTGCCTTAAATTGTGGCGTTTTTCTAAGAAATGGGTGCTATGTACTGTGCGAAAGCAATCGATTTTACAAGAATAAAATTTTGGACAACCCTCTTCTAAGAATGCCATTTGAGTGTGTCAGTGTGGCCAGCTCGGGGCAATATCATATTACGAGTATAAACACATCACATCACGTCTCTCCTGTTTATAACTTCGTAGCAAAGAATAAACGACATTCATAGCGGTGAAACCGCTAGCAAGAGCCACAGGAACTTTGCTGCAAGACAGGCATATGTAACAATGACTTATCTCAGCTAAACTCGTTGGCTTAGTATACTCTGTTCTTGTGACAACAGGCCAGCGAAAAATCTAACAATCTACAGCAAAACCATCAATTATTATGGGCGTTATAACATAGGTGTGCAGCTGGACGAAACATACACGACGAACCCCCCCAGACGATTTAAATCCCTGACGAAACATACACGACGAACCACGGCAACGGGTTAAGAATGTCATCTTCTGGGATCTGGTGCCATGTAGATCTTGCATGAACTGACATCTGCAGCCACGTATATTTTTATTTGTTAACAAGCATATTTCCCCATTCCTTTCCTACATCAAGGCAGGTATTTGATATTAACGCTGATCACAGTGGCCACACAGTCTAAGGCATGTATCGTCTTCGCCCACGCGAACACCGGGATCGTGGATTTGAATCCCATGCATGTCTGTGTGTACGTAGTGGCCTTGCAGTGGGCTAATTCCCTGTCCAAGGAATCCTACCTACAGTGTGTAGGGAGAGAAACTGAAAAAGCGGCCAAGGTCCATAAGGGCTGTACAGCCACAGATAGATTTGAGAGCAACATTAAGTATAATTTTCTTTTCAAATTTCATATAACCCCCAATTTATGAAATTTCACAATTTAAGGTAAAAAAATCCCATCCGAAAGGCAGCCTTAACTCTTTGACTGGCGTGGGCGTGTTTTAACGCCCGGAAGATGCCAGCCGTTCCCTGGCGTTGGCGTGTTTTAACGCTTTGACAATCTCTTCCCTTCTTTGCTCTCTTGGCACTCATCAACCAAAGACATATATATGATAGTTTTTGTGCATGTTTGTAAAGAACCCTTGTAAACTTTGTGGGGGTCTATATTACTGTCAGAACCCTCTGAGAAGGAAAAGGTCAGAAAATATTTCACATTCATTCAGTTTCACCATGGCTTCTTGCAGCAAGTGTCTTCGTGTTCCTACAGACCAGCTGGAAAATGTTGTGAACGAGATTTGTTCTGATGATGGTAGTGGCGATGAAATAATGATTCCTGAATTGGATGAAGTTGATAGTGACAATAATACAGTGATAGACAATGATCCACAAGACAGAAATCATGAACATTTACCTACCACGAGTGCGGTGCCTGACACGCCCATCTCATGAACGTACGGAGACATTGTACCCCCAATATTTCCATTTGCTAATAGTTTCGGGATCAAAATTGATATAACACATAAAATGCATCCCTTTTCATGGATTAAAATTTTTTCTGGATGACGACTTGGTAAATCACATCACAACTGAAACCAATCGCTATGCTCACCAGCACTTCAACACACATGAGTTAGCTCCTCACTCTCGAAAACACAATTACAATTATGTCACATCAGATGAAATCTGGACATACTTAGGAATTGTGTTCATGACAGGAATCGACAAACGCCCTGAAATTGAAGAATATTTGTCCACTAGGCCCCTATTTCACACCCATGGTATGGACAAAACATGTCTTTGCGGTTGAATAGTTTCATTCTATTCAAAAAGAACACAACAAACGAAAAATACAAGAAGAGAAATTACAGATTCAAAGATTTTATATTGGACTGTGTAGAAAAATGACTGAACCAAACAAACAGGTGGGAGAGGGAGAAGAGTCAAGGAATGAAGTGGATGACGAATCTATTGCGTCAGACTCGAGTGCAGTCACGCCTCCGCCCTCGACCTTGAAAAGACCACCAGTGAAAGAGCCAGTAAATCGTCTAGAGGGTGGCTTGAAAATTCACAAAATGGTCCATGTTCCTCCCAGTAACAAGAAGAATGGTGCCCTGAGAAAGTGTCGCGTGAGTGCTAAGCACAAGATTAGAAAAGAAACAAGTATCATGTGTGCAGGCTGTGGTGTGGCTCTCTGCAAACTTTCATGTTTCAATGTTTATCACACGAAGAAAAACTAATAAAGAGGTATGGAAAGGCATTTATTGCATAAAATATTGTATTTTAATTAGTTCCTGAAAATTTCGTTTTTAAAAACCAATTTTTGTTGAAGTTGTTTAGGAAAAAGTAACTACATGCATTTTAGCGACATAAGGTTTAAAGGGCCTGCCAGGACAGGGGTGGGATTTAAATACCCTTCGCGCCAGTCAAAGAGTTAAACGGTAGTTTCGCTGCTCCCGAATGCTTCATTTCATTATCATTACCAAATCATCACTGTCTTCCTATCTGACATTATCAAAGTCATCATGCTGGATCCGAGGTTCTCGCAGTGATGGCCATGAAAAGTACTACTTTCCAGGCTGTAGCACAGTATAGTCTGCTATTAGATGAATGTAGTTCCTCCATCTTCATGGCTGAAGAGTAAGCCAAGTAGGCAACCAATAAGAACCATGAGGCAAGCTCCCCACTTTACATATCACAAAACTGTTCACTGTGATGTATCATTCACTTCAAATTAAAAATTTAAACAGTTAAGGTTATTGTCTTCTGTGACATAAATAGTTTGGTAGATAAGAACCAATGTTTCAGAGGAACCTGCTGCCTCCATCTTCAGGGTACAAGATGAAGAGGGAAGCAGCAGGTTCCTATAAAGTGTTGGCTCCTGCCTACCAAACTACACTGTTTCACATCTCAGAAGACTGTAACCACTTATCTGCAGCCCATGATGGAACACATTGGCAACAGTATAGTATTGCGCTTCTTCCAGGACAAGAAACCATCTATTCACATAATGGAAAACATAATATTTTACTTCATATGAAATTGGCTGCCTTTTCACTGTATACAAGCCAGAACATCAATCCAGTGTTTTGCTATTCACCACTGCTCTCTGGTCAGTCATGCTGCTTACTTGTTCTTGGCCATTCACCTTAATGCAGTGCATACCAGATGTATGAGTAAACATCCATGTAACTCCCATTTTTCTGGCATTTCATTAAAACCTCAAAAACAAACAAAATCACGTCTCCATTCACTTCCGAACAATTTACATGAAAACTGCGAGGATCATTCAAAAAGATATTTACAATGAAATTCCTATTTAGTTTTTTCAGAGAGTGACTTCTAACACTAAACTGAGATTTGCTTTAACAGGGGTTAGGTAAAATTCCATCTACAAAATGTTATGTTCTTAAAAAACTTCATGTACGTAATAATTACTTTTAGTTAAAGATACTATTTCTACACAAATAAATACAATTACACAATTAAATCTTCTTAAAAGACTTAATGTACATAATTACAGCAAGTTAAATATACTGTTTCTACCCAAAAAAATACAAATACATAACTAATAATATAAATTTAACCGGTAACATGAAATATTGAACAATGATTCATTCCTTGATGACAACTGTGTTAAATTAAGTTGAGTTCTGGAAGGCTGAAGACTTCTTACACTAATGCAGGCTATTTACAAAATCAAAATTTGGCTTAAACTTTGACTAATGACTAAATATGAAAACACCAAATAAGGATTTCACTGTAGTACGTTAAAGAGCGTTGTACTTTTGAAAATATTGCCCTTTATATACCTGAGAACTATCTGGCACATGTCGGTTCACCAAGTACCAGTTCTATCTTTCCCTCTCCTTACATCAATAACACTTTTTCACATGCCTGACTACCTCTTATTCTGAAACTGGAAGCAACAAGTTCCTCCAAAACACTGATAACTTTCTAATTGAGTACAGTCTGAACCAATTATAATGTGTACCTGAAGAACAAGGTGTTGTGGGAAGGAATGCTTGATGCAGCGCACCACGTACTCTGTCTCCGATTCTGTAAGCTCAACAGGCTCCGAGCTACGAAACAGTGGACCAAATGCCACTAATTCAGGTACACTGCGTAGCTTCTCTGCGTATGATTCTTCACGACTAACAGTGGCAGCCACAGCCAACACCTTTGAACCTATACAACAAGTTGCTATAAAGTTTTCGTACTGAAACATCAACTGCAAATGGAATTTACAACAACACAACAACTGAAAACTTACATCCGTGCTTCAGAAACACTTGTACATGCTCTGATTATCAGATTTACAAAATTTTAGCATTAACACTACAAGAACATAAATACCATAAATAAAGAGAATCAAGGAAGCTCTATTACATTAGGAAGTAGCCCTGGAAATAAATGCTGAGAAAAACTGAGTATACATTTATGTCCTGTCACCACAATGCACTGGGGGGGGGGGAACAAAAAAAAAAACGAACAGATCCTTTGGAAATATGGCAACATTCAAATATCCAGGAATCACACAAACAAGTCAAAATTGCATTCATGAGGAGATTAAACCTGGGCAATTCTTGGTATCATTCAGCATAGAATCTTTCAATTTCTTTATTAAAATCTGTCACAACACAACAACATCAAGGCCAAGGCCTAGATTGGCTCGTGCTACATGTTTTGGCTATTAAAGCCATCATCAGGCAATTACATGATTAACATATTCACACCAATGAACTGCAGTACTGGTAAAACTGGGTACCTGATAATATTACATTATAAAATGTTTGGCATAAAAGTACAATGAACTAGACTATATAAAAACGAAAGTCGTAGGGTAACACAAGGTTAAGACTCTTCGAATGAAGTTTTATATCAAGTCAGTTGTTGGTTGTTGCAATTTTTATATTCCTGCAGACATAATGGGATATTCTAGATTTTGTGTACATGTATTAAACTGCTTTGGAGGCCCGTGGCATGGAGGTAGTATAGTGCTGACGTTAATTGTTTAGCCGGTGCCTCATCTTACAATGTATTGTCCATTCTGTGGGGAATATAAACTGCAGTTATATATGTAGCACGAGCCAATCTTGGCCTTGGCCTTGATATTGTTGTGTTGCGACAGATTTTAATAAAGAATTTGTATATTATAACACAAACGGATGCACAAGGGGGGGGCAGAATCTTTCATTTCCTGATCTGCTTTCTAAAACTATAAAGATTCAAATATACCAATCTACAATTTTGCCTGTAATTCTGTATGGGTGTGAAACTTGGTCTCTTTGGCTTTAAGAGGGAGGAAGTCAGAAGATGTAGAATATTGCGTAATTAGGATTATTAGAATAGCCAAAACATGGGTGTATTGGGCAGGGCATACAGCATGCATGGCAGCAATGAGAAATGCAATGAAAGCTTCTAGAGGAATATCTTTAAAAGAAGACCATATGTAAGAACTAGGAGTAATGGGAAAGAAGCGTTATCATAGATATTAAAGAAATATAAGGGGGGGTGGGGGTGGACTGGATTAATCTAATTCATTTTAAATTCATGTATATACAAAAATGGCCCTGGCAATGCCCATTCAGCCCTCTGTAGTACATACTTATAAATATCTTATTCTATCAGAGTGGTCACACCATGATTTTTTAACATCTGTCTATATGTTTAAAATATTTATTCTTATGTCTTGTCTTTTTTTTTTGAGTATTTATTATTCTTAAATTGAGTTAAAAATGTATTTTGAAATGTACTG